AATAATAAAGGCTATTTAAAAAAAATAATAAAACAATAACAAATAATATTGATTCAAAAAAAAATAATTTTACAATGACGCCATTTACTAAAACTATTTGGAATTAAACGCGTTTGAACAAATTATAAAGACTGTAGATTGTGGCGTATATTTTAAAGACTTTCAGAGAATAGCTACTGTGGAAACAGTGAGCTTCGAGTAAAATAACAAAGTTTATTTTTGTTGGTATACATTTATTATTTTGTTTTACTTGAAAAAATTTTACCAAAACATTTTTTTTTTATCATTCTCTTTAAAATAAACACAACTTGTCTCGGCACTTTGGTATCCCTTTAAACTAGTCATCATTAGTAAACTTATCTAACATTTTATAAGAAATTATAAAATTAACATATAAATTAATCAAATAATCATGAACAAAAGTTGAGTTAAAAGAAAGTAGAACGAAATATTCTCTTTAATAAAACTAAATTATTAAAAAAAGTGAACTTGTCATAGTTGTAGTGAGATATTTTTCTGAAATTAAATATTTAAACCAAATATTGATGAGTTTTTATGATTTTTTATAAAAGAAAATGTAATCAATATTTTTCTGTGCCTATTTTTTTTGAAAGCATTATGTTAAAAAGCATTATTTTGAAAGCACTGTACTTTGAAAAATTCGAACAAATCAAAATAAAATATTCAAAACTAAAAATAAAATATAAAATAATAAATTAAAATGGATTTTGCAACTATTAGTATTAATTATTTTTAAATGAATATTGCAACTTACTTAGCTACTAAACTGTTTTAGGACTAAACTAAAAATATTTTAAACTCATAATACTTGACATATGGTTAACTGAACTATAAAGCACAAAATATTATATAGCAGAAATATATAAAGAAAACTAAATGTTTACAAACCCGTTTTGTTATTGGAAAATTTGCTTCTTCTAAAGTCTTACTCAAGTCATTTTGACTTTTTGAACGACCATGAACATGACCAAACAAAAACTTAGGCGTCATCAATGGTGTTTTTTCTTAATATATAAAAATTAGCCTTTATTAAATTTGATAATTTATAACTTTTTAAAAAAGCTAAAATTCTAACATAAAATAAAAACAAAAAATATATATATAAAATACTGAGCTGTTGTTTTGCTGCAAAACAACAGCTCAGTACCTCAACAAAAATAGCCATTGCTATTGCTAATAACCACGCTATCAGCAGTACCACTAAAACCTGCTACTAAAAACTGCTGAAATTTCTTCACTCATTTCATAGATTTTTACTCGATAGTAATCAAGTAAAAGTCTATGAGAAGCAAACTCTCCCTGTTATTTCCTAATGAGGGCACAGTTATAAAACTCAGTTTAATGGTTAAGGCCTACAACTTTCAACTTTTTCATCTCAAAAAATATGCTCTCGTGACTTCCTGAGAATTTTTAATAAGGCAAAACTGTTATTCCACCTCTCTTATATGGCTCAGATTTGTCATCTAACCTTAAGACAAAGCTGAATTGTTTGCTTGCTTTTCATCATTCTCATATCGTGATTACACTACACGGCTGTTTCACTCAATATAAAAGCGAGCTTGACGTCACAAGAATTTTTGTGTTTAAAAGAAAAAAAAGAATTTTCGCATAAAAAGTATAAAAATTCACTAACTTTAAATTAATAGTATTTTTTCTATCAACACTTTGATCTTGGAATTAAAAATATATAAAAAATATATAAAATAATCTTTCTTCGTTAAATAAATATTTACATGAAACGAAATAAAAATTAACATTGTTAAAATATTTTAAATGATTTTGTATCACTTTTCTATTTTTTGCGTAATTTACGGAAAACCTGTCTTGGGCCAATCAAGATTTGATATTTTAAGCTACATGCCTGATGATTGAAATTTTACATACTTATAAACGTATGTCTATTTTGTCAGATTTTTGGAGGGCATAGATAAAAAAAATTGTTTAAGTTAGTTTTTTTAGCATTATTATTTTTGTTTTTACTTATTTTATATGAAAAACATTCAATTTTTGTTATGCCCTCCAAATTATTGAAATTTCAGCCCTCTATGCACATGAAAAAATCAAAAAAATTATTTTCTGTACTTTTAACTAAAACGTTTTCAACCTTGGCAAATTTTGTTGCTTTTAGCAATTACATGCGTAAAATTTTTGTTTATGTTTTAAAGCAATGACGTAACTTTAAATGCGTAACTTCCCAATTCCCTATGTAATTAAATTTATTAAAACAGCTTTTTTAGCAAGACAAATTTTAGTGTATAAATAAAAAAAACTTTGGCGGTTTTTTTTCTCTCTTGGCTAATCTACAAACATAAGATAAGTTGTTTAATCCTCTGATTTCTATTGCATACTTGTTATTTGTCAATAATTATTATTTGATTTTATTGGTTTGTTTTATATTTGTATTACGAAGTTTATTTATCACTATGCATTCTTGTGAAAAGGAGATACTAATACTATACATTGGATGCTTAAAATCTTAAGCTTTAAATTTTTAGGCATTTTTTAACATTTAAGTATGATTTTTTTGTTTTTTTAATAGTCCAACAATGTGTACATTTATTAATAAATATTGAAAATATAATCTTTCTGAGTTTTTTTTGATAAAAAGTAACATCAAATTACTAATATTAAGCCAAGTTCAACATTTGCCGCGTTTATTCTAAAATTAAAGAAGTTTTTTAATATATCTGTGAAACGTCATCAAATAAAACATTTTATTGGTGTTTTTATTCTTTTTACAGAACAAAATTATCTCTAATGTTTCAAAAGTTATAAAAGTTTTACTAACACCCCTTACGTAAATATTTTCAAAAAATAACAAGAAGCCGTAAAGCTCTCTTGAAACAGCCGTGACTAATTGTGCTCTACCTGATACAGCCAACAAACTAGTTGATCCATTGCTTGATACTTTTATCACTCCAGCTTCTGTATCTAAAATGATTTCCTGCTTAGACTCTACAGCTTGTGGTTCAAACAATAATTATAGTCTTGCAAAAGTGTTCTTCGGAGCTGTCATCTATACTTATTACTAAACTATTAAACAAGTGTAAGCACTTGTTTAATAGAGTCTTATTTCCTGCTGGAAAGCAGCATCTGTTATCCCTATTTTCAAAAAATTATGGAGAGCGATCTAAGTTGTCTAACTACTACCCCATTAGTCTTCTTCCAATCATAAGCAAGGTTTTTGAGTCTTTAATTAACAAACACTTAATCTCTCATCTTAAAACTTATTCTACATTCTACAGCTGATTTGTTAACGGTAATAACCAATAGGTTATATGGTGCATTAAAAAAATGTGGAGAGGTTAAGGTTATGGCTATTGACATTTCTAAAGCCTTTGATAAAGTTTTGACATGCTGGTCTTCTCCATAAGCTTACTTCTTACAGTGTATCAGGTAACATCTTGAGGATAAGCCAACAATTTCTGATTGCTTGGAGGAGGCATTAGAGATTGAAAAGGATCTCATTTCTGCTGCTTGGGGCACTCAGTGGCTAGTGAACTTTAACTCAAATAAACCTCAATCTTTTTTTATCGAATCATTACCACAATAATCTAAATCTTCCTATATTTATGAACGTCAATGTACTCAAGTCATTCAACTTCCGACTCTAATAGTGGTTACTTGAAGCCTTTTTGGATGTGAAAATGTTGAAAAAAAAAGAGTTTATATATATTAATGCATGTAGGGCAATAAAAACACTAGACTAATTTACAAAATAAAGAGGATGTTGCTTGCATTTTTAAAGTTATTATTATCAAACATAAAAAAGTAAAAAACTGACTGATAAATATTGTGAACAACTGAAAGCAATTGAAATGAGACCAGAAGAAAGGATGAAAATATGAGATTCTTTTAAAATAATTCCAATTTAATCAAACTGAAAAGGGTGAAAATGCAGATTTTTATGTTCCACAATGTTAGCTTCACTCTAAATCAATGCCATATGATGAAACTACGATTACATGCTTCAACCTAAATACTAGCTGCATTAGTTTGTGTTATTAGGACTCTTGATACAGTTGGTGACAACTGTATCTGTATTAGTAACTGTATCAAAAGACAACTATTTCATAAATTATGTTTGTGCACCATAAAATGCACTTCTTAGCAACAATAATAAAAAAAAAATTTATAAACACGTGAGGAAAGCAAGTGAGAATAATATATATATATATATATATATATATATATATATATATATATATATATATATATATATATATATATATATATATATATATATAAACAATTAAATAACTCATGTTAAAATTTTAAAAAAGCAACAAAAAGAAACATAACAATAATCAAAAATTATTAAATATAATTTACTCACTCTCAACAGGTTCACAATGGATGGAACTGATTTCTGTTGGAATTTCCAATGGAGGAAATTGCTATTTAAAAACATATATATATATATATATATATATATATATATATATATATATATATATATATATATATATATATATATATATATATATATATATATATACATATATATATATATATATATATATATATATATATACATATATATATATATATATATATATATATATATATATATATATATATATATATATATATATATATATATAATATATATATATATATATATATATATATATATATATATATATATATATATATATATATATATATATATATATATATATATATATATAGTCTTGTGACAATTTATTATGGCCACCCTTAATTTTTTACATTCTCAAGTTTCATAGTCTATTATTTTAGAATTTTTTTGTACTATATATATGTACTCAACAGTAATTTTAAAGAAATGGACATTTTTTTGACAAATGAAAAACATTTAAAAAACTTTATAATTTAAAAATTACTACAAATATATTCAAGATCAATATTTGGTGATTTTCCTTTTTACCTCTATAATTGCAAGAACCATTTTTGGCTTACTATTGATACATTTTTCAGTCATTTTCTGCAATCTTTTATTATGGTTCCAGATGTAAACATTTCTTTCTTATAAATACACTTTATACTATTTTCTTTAGATATTGTTCTTTAGGAACGCCTCAACATTTTCTATAGGATTTTGGTCAGGAGAGTTTCCTGGCCAATTAAGTAATGAAATATTCTGTTTTGATAAAATTTTTGAAATTGATTTAGCCGTATGGTGTAAAACATTTTTTCCCAACCTAATGCCAACCTCAAACAGTTTGAGGTCTGCAATTTATTGCTGACCTCATTTTTTCTATTTCCCAAGGTTGATATATATATATATATATATATATATAATTTATATATATATATATATAATATAATATAATATATATATATATGTATATATATATATATTTATATATATATATTTATATATATATATGTATATATATATATATATATATATATATATATATATATATATATAGAGAGAGAGAGAGAGAGAGAGAGAGAGGGAGAGAGAGAGAGAGAGAGAGTGTTTAGCTTGGCATTGTAATATATTTAGCACACCTAAAGTTTTATTATACTTAGCTTTTTTATTTTTATTATTTTATAATTTATAATATAAGCCCATGCCCTCAGTTGATGTAGGCACTTTGTCCTTGTAGCTCCTTTTTTCAGTATACAACAGCAATGACGTTTCATGCAAGGCCAGCTATGCAAATATATACATTACAGTTGTTCAACAAATATAACATTGCTCAGAATTGATATATAAATGTGGAAGTTGGAAGAAGGTCATTTGAATCAATTTATGTTACAAAATTTTCTTTTTCTTTAACTGAATTTTTTTGATGAAGTATATGATTGACACTTTTGAATTTGAAGTTGTTTATTCCTAACTATTATTCTTTGTATACTCAGTAAATAACACTTGTCAGTTACCTCAAACCTGCTACATCTTTCCAAAATCCCAAGTGCATCTTTCTATTTACCAATTACATCTTTGATCCAGTAAAAAAAAAATATTTTCTTTTCTTGATTGACTTTGACCATTTTGAAATATTTCAATGGCATCATTAGCAAAGAAGTCATATAGCTTAATTTTTTTTTTTTTTTTTTTTACTTCTCATTTTGCTATTTGATTAAAGATTTGTTTAGAATTATTTTTTCATGAATATACTTTTTTTTTTTTTTTTTTTTTTTTTTTTTTGCTTAAGTAGGTTTGTGAGCAATCAAAGTGTCACCAATATTAGCCTAATTGATATGTAAACCTCACATACACATAAATGTAATTGTATTCACCATAAGAACCTTCTAAAACATTCAGATTAGGATCCTTCTGGAATCTTTAAAAACATTCTTCTAGGTTAAAGAGTTTTCAGAATCTTTCCAGAATCTTCCATTATCTTGCAGAACAAGCAATACCTTCCAGAACATTTCAGAATATTCTTGTCTTCAACAAATATGTTGGAAGGATACAGAATGTTCTAGCAGATGCTAGAAGGTTTTTATTATCTTCCAAAATATTCTAGAAAGTTGCTCAATGCTCTGGAACATTTCAGAATACCTTAAAAACCTGTTTAGAACCAGAATGTTACACATTGTTGCAAATTCTTTTAAAAGCAACATTTATTGTTTAATAAAAACATGATTTTAGTGAAGAGATAATTAAAATTTTAGTTAGTAGTTAATATGTTTTAATATAAAATTTCAGGTGCCTTGAAGGAGGGATGTGGGTGGATATTGGTGTTGTAATAAAATAAAATATATATATATATATATATATATATATATATATATATATATATATATATATATATGTATATATATATATATATATATATATATATATATATATATATATATATATGTATATATATATATATATATATATATATATATATATATATATATATATATATATATATATATATATATATATATATATATATATATATATATGTATATGTATATGTATATGTATATGTATATATATATATATATATATATATATATATATATATATATGTATATATATATATATATATATATATATATATATATATATATATATATATATATATATATATATATATATATATATATATATATATATATATATATATATATATATATATGAATATATACTTCATTCAAATTAATAATCCACAACAAACAAACCTTGCCCACCAAATTGCAAAAAGCATAAATCCAGCGTTGTCTTGTTTGATCATCATTAGCCTGAAAATATTTGTAATTAAAGAAGTCAATTTAAAATATAAGAAATACAAACAAACTTATAATATTAACTCATGTATATACTATTAATTATAAATTTAATACATAATATTTAGAGTCAGCAGGTTAGTAAAAAGTTTAAAAACTTGCTTGGGTACTTTTTCAACTAAAGTTAATAAAATAAAAACGCAAAACAACTTTGTCAGTGACCTGAATTATAATCTTTTGAGCCTCAAGTAATAGTGTTAAGTGTATTGTAAATATATTTTTATGAAACAATCTCGTTCCAACAATAACCAAACCAATTAT